AAAAAAAACAAAACAAAACAAAACACAGAACTGAGTTGTATTTTTATATGATTCCATTAGTCATTGAGGATGACATAATGTCTTTTCATGTTTGGTATGGTATATAAAGTTATATAAATTTCAGTTTTTAAATATATAGTAGGCCTGCTTAATCTGCATATCATTGTTAATAAACATTTACATTAATAACAATGCCTCCCATTTTCATTAACAGAGAATTCTTGAATTGGAAACCTCTTTGGAAAAAAGCTTACAAGAAAGCAAAAATGAATCAGAGCAGTTAGCTGTTCATTTGGAAGCTGAAAAAAATAAACACAGTGAGGAAATTACAGTCATGGTTGAAAAGCACAGGCTAGAACTAGAGAGCCTACAACATCAGCAGGATGACATTTGGACTGAGAGAGTCCAAGTCATAAAACAACAGCATCAGACTGAAGTGGAAAAACTTAGAGAAAAGTATGAACAAGAAAAGGAAACATTATTGAAGGATAAAGAGAATCTTTTCCAGGCCCATGTACAGGACATGAATGAAAAAACTTTAGAAAAGCTTGATGTCAAGCAGACAGAACTGGAGTCACTCTCTTCTGAGCTCTCAGAAGTGTTAAAAGCTCGTGATGTGCTAGGAGAGGAACTTGCTGTTCTCAGGGCTCAAGCAGATAAAATGAAACAGGACTCAGAGGCCAAGCTGGACGAACAGAAAAGCCAGCACCAGCAAGAAGTAGATAGGATCATTAGAGAGCAAGAACTATCAACCCAGAGAACTGAGACGGCTTTAAAAGAGGAAATTAATCAGCTGGGGCTTCTCTTGAAGGAAAAGGACGAGCATTTGAAAGAACATCAGGCTCGAGTAGAAAATCTCGAGGCGCATATTAAGAAGTCTGAAGCAGAGTTCCAGCAAGCATTCGCTAAGCTGGACCTTTTTCAGTCACAGCAGAGCACCACTCACGAACAGACAAGGGTATACGAGGAGCAGTTGGCCCAATTGCAGCAGAAGTTGTTGGATCTAGAAACAGAAAAAAGTCTTCTTACCAAACACATATCTGAAATTGAAACGCAGAGAAAGGATGTTTGTATGGAGTTAGATATTTACAAACTCCAGGTGCAGAACTTAACACAGCAGCTTGAAAAACAGAGCAGTGAAATGGAGGAAAAGCTGAAAGCCTTAACTCAACTCCATGAGTCACAACTTAATGACAGTAACTGTGAAAAGGAGCAAACAAAGCAAATTTTGATGGAAAAGGAAAATGTCATTTTACAAATGAGAGAAGAACAGACCAAAGAAGTTGGGATACTCAACCAGAAGTTGTCTTCCAAGGAGGAGAGTATTCGTATTCTGCATGAGGAATATGAAACCAAACTAAAGAATCAGGAAAAAAGGATGGAGAAGGTTAAGCAGAAAGCAAAGGAGATGCAGGAGACAAAGAGGAAGTTGTTGGATCAAGAAGCCAAACTTAAAAAAGAGCTTGAAAACTCTGTTCTGGAGCTGAATCAGAAAGAAAAAGAGTTCAATGCCAAAATACTGGAAATGGCCCAGGCTAACTCAGCTGGAATCAGTGACACAGTGTCAAGACTGGAGACAAACCAAAAGGAGCAGATAGAAAGTCTGACTGAAGCACATCAGCAAAAACTCAGTGATATCATATCAGCCTGGGAAAAACGACTGACTCAGCAAGCTGAAGAACTTCAGGGGAAACATGAGAGCCAAATACAGGAGAAAGAACATGAGATTGCCCAGCTGAAGCAGAAGATCCTGAGGTCTGGGTGTGAAAAAGAGGAGCTGAGCAAGGAGCTGGCACGGCTGACGGAGGAAGGTGAGAAGCAGGGAGCAGCCGTCAGTGAGCTGCAGGAGCAGTTACAGCAGAAGTCTGTCCATATGGCTTCTCTCTCACACAGTGAAACTGCTTTGAAAGCACAGGTTGAAAAGCTGGAAGTTGATTTGAGTCATTCTCTGAAGGAAAAGATTTCTCTTCAAGAAGAGCTAGCCGAACTGAAAGTGCTGGCAGAGAAAGATAAGCTCAAGGTTTCTGAGCTGACAAGTAAGTTGGAAACTGCTGAGGAGGAATTGCAAAGTGTGAAATCTTTACATGAAAGTAGTGAGAAAAGCCTGAAGGACAGAAGCATGGGTCTCAAAACACTGCTCGAGGAGCTGGCCTTTCAGCTAGATAGTTACTGTAAGAAAATCGAGGCTTTACTAGAAGCTAAAGCAAATGAGCTAATCAGCATCAGCAATAATAAAACCAATGCCATTCTCTCTAGGATTTCCCATTGTCAACAGCGCACAGCTAAAGTCAGACAGGTACTGTTGATGAAGACTTGCAAAGTTTCTGAATTAGAAGCACAACTCAGACAGCTAACAGAGGAGCAATATACACTAAAGAGTTCTTTTCAACAGGTTACCCATCAGTTAGAAGAAAAAGAAAGTCAGATTAAGAACATGAAGGCTGATATCGAAGGTCTTGTCACAGAAAAAGAAGCCTTACAGAAAGAGGGAGGCAATCAGCAGCAGGCTGCCTCCGAGAAGGAGTCTTGTATTACACGGTTGAGGAAAGAGTTATCAGAAAACATCAATGCTGTCACATTGATGAAAGAAGAGCTCGTAGAAAAGAAATGTGAGATTAGCAGTCTGAGCAAACAGCTAGCTGATTTGAATGTTCAGCTCCAGGCCAGTGTCAGCCTGAGCGAAAAAGAAGCGGCCATTGAAGCACTGAGCAAGCAGCATGAGGACCAGCTAGGTGAGCTGCAGAGTCAGGTACGAGACTTATCTGTGAAAGTTGATACTCTGAGTAAAGAGAAAACATCTGCTCTTGAGCAGGTAGATCATTGGTCCAACAAGTTCTCAGAATGGAAGAAAAAAGCACAGCCAAAATTTGCACAGTACCAAAACACAATTAAAGACTTACAGGCACAGCTTGACTTAAAAGCCAAAGAAGCTCATGAGAAGGATGAGCAGATACATTCACTGAAGGAAGACCTTGCTCAGCAGAATAGAAGATTTGAATGTTTAAAGGATGAGATGGAAGATAAGAAGGGCAAGATGGAGAAGAAGGAGCGGGACTTAGAGACCGAGGTAAAGACTCAGACAGTGAGGATTGTGGACCTAGAGGACTGTATTACTCAGAAACAAAATGAAATTGAGTCCTTAAATGAAATCCTTAAAAATTACAATCAGCAGAAGGATTCTGAACAGAAAGAATTGGTTCAGAAACTTCAGCATTTTGAAGAGCTCAGAGAAGAAAAGGACAACAAGCTTCAAGAAGCCGAGGAAAAAGTCTTAAAACTTGAAAAGCAACTGTCTTCCATGGAAGTGGAACTCGAGATTAAGAAGAAAGAATTAGAACATGTGAATTCAAGTGTGAAAAGCAGAGGTGAGGAATTAAAAGCATTGGAGGAGAGACTTGAATTAGAAAGTGCTGCCAAATTAGAACTGAAGAAGAAGGCCGAACAAAAACTCGCTGCCATCAAGAAGCAGCTGCTGTCTCAAATGGAAGAGAAAAAACAGCAGTATGAAAAAGAGACAGAAAGCCAGCTGAGTGAGCTGAGCACAAAATTACGAGAAAGAGAAAGGGAAGTACACACCCTGGAAGAAAAACTGAAAACCCTAGAAAGTTCTCCACAGTCGGAAACACCAGTTGTGTCCAGATCAGTAGACAATGTGGCAGCGTGTGTGGAGCAAGAAGCTGCAGGTTCCCAAGGCTGTGAGCAGACGGCGTGTGAAGAAAGGAGGCATGTGTCGCGAAGTTTACCTGAGGAAGACAGCCTGTTGGAGCAGTCAGAGCAGGGAAAAGGTGAGATGCTTTCATCTCATTCTGAAATGC